CTATATCTATATATCTATTATATCCAATTCTAATTCTTTTCTCGTTTGCTTCGATTTCAACCACCTGCCGACTTGTGCATCATCATTGCACAACGGCCATGCCAACATTCACTAATTCCAGTCACCTCTCTCTCTCTCTCTCTCTCTCTCTCTCTCTCTCTCTCTCTCTCTCTCTCTCTCTTCTCTGCCTGACATGATTTCAGAGAGGCTGTTCCAAAGTTTCAGAGTCATGATTCAAGAACGCACAGGGCATAACTGTCTCTCTCTCTCTCTCTCTCTCTCTCTCTCTCTCTCTCTCTCTCTCTTCTCTGCCTGACATGATTTCAGAGAGGCTGTTCAAAAGTTTCAGAGTCATGATTTTCAAGAACGCGCAGGGCATAATTGTCTGGGACTCTCTCTCTCTCTCTCTCCCCCCTCTGCCTGACATGATTTCAGAGAGGCTGTTCAGAAGCTTCAGAGTCATGATTCAAGAATGCGCAGGGCATAATTGTCTGGGACATCCATCAAAATTGGAACCATATGGAGAAAATTAGCATATGGACCCAAATGAAAAAGAAGACGAAGAACAGCATAAAGCCCATCTCAATTTTTCGGCGCAGAAGCTCTCATCATCAATACCTATGCGGTCAGTATTACGAAGTACAATGAGCCGACAATCGTGTCTCCACCTCCCTTTTCTCAAGATCTGGTGTTTTGACAGTTCTGCTGTCAAGCTGCGTTTGGACTTGTTTTTGTGACAAGAACCGGTAGTCCGCTCTCACAAGCAAAGATCCCAATAGCACCACCGTACCTGGAGGCCTGCACGTCCAGGTGCAGATATGATGCACCAGGACATCTGAATGTCCAGGTGCAGATATGTTTTCCTTTTTTTCCCATTAGCTGCCCAAGAACGTAGACTTTTAAGGCTATCCCTCCTTTACATCATCATTCTGCAAATATAGACGTTAGGGCTATCCCTCCCCCTCCTTTAGATTATGCGAATCGCGGTGAAGGCTATCCGTCCCCCTCCTTTAGATCATGGGAATAGCCGTGAAGGCTATCCGTCCGGGCTCTAACAAAACATGGCCGTACGATTAGATTGTGCATCCAGCTATATCGGGAAAACATTCATTTACATTACTTGATGCATCAATCCCAAGGGAAGTCCTGTGTTGATTTGATAAATATTAGCAAGAGGATCCCTTTGAGACTATGAAAAAACGTAGATCGCTCCCCCTCGGTTAGATTATGGGAATAGCCTTCACGGCTATGCCCTCCCTTAGACTATGGGAATAAACTGTAGGGCTATCCCTTATGGGAATACGGACGTTAGGGCTATCCCTCCTTTAGATTATGAGAATAGACATTAGGGCTATCCCTCCTTTAGATTATGGGAATAGACGTTAAAGCACCAGTACATGGGGCACCTGGGCCCCGGGTCTGACACCTCACACTCTGGAGGCACGAAACGATAACGCCCCCGTCGATCGAATTTATCAACGGCGGGCCCAGCATTTGACGTTTCGGCCTCGTTTTCTTGTCGCGACAAGTTTTGGACTGCAAGGCTGGGGCCGTGTACTTGTAGCTAACCCTCCCTTAGATTATCGGACTGGACTTTCGGGCTAGCAGTTATGGGAAATATAGACATTAGGGTTATGCCTCCTTTAGATTATAGGAAGAGACATTAGGGCTATCCCTCCTTTAGATTACGGAAATAGACGTTAAGGATATCCCTCTCTCAGATTATGGGAATAGACAATAGGAGCTATCCGTCCTTTAGATTATGGGAAAAGAAGGGAAGAATTGGAGACGCCTTAGGGTCTCGCCGCACGGCACAGGAAACGAAAACGAAACGAGTGCATCTGCCCACGAAAGGTGGCAAAATACACTCGTTACTATTTATACCAAACCGATGAACCTGGCCATTTTCTGCAGGAAGATGCACTCGTTTCGTTTTTCGTTTCCTGTCCCGTGCGGCGACGCCATTAGAAGCACTAAGCAATAAATAACAACGAACAAGGGATGGATCATACGACACTGGCTGCTCTTCCCCAAAAAAAAACAAAAAGAAAAAAAAAACAACCGAACAAGGAGATTAGGTCAGGCTTAGAAAGGTGCATAAAAAATTGAAGGTTCCGAACAGACAGATGGACAATAAACTTGAATAAAGGAATCATGCATACAGAGCTGAGAGAAGATGAGGGAAGAGCGCGTGCAGAGGCTGCTACAAGCCTGCCACTAAATAGTAGGAAACCATTCAGCAGGGCTTGATACGAAGCGGGCTTAGACTGGTCAAGAATGGATGGGAGGGATTAGTACAGACACGGTTTCAACATCAGTTCAATTATCAATAGCGTACAAATAAAGAACATAAAAAAACTGCGGCTGCAGAGGCTGCATGCATATGCCTTCTTCCCAACTAAGGCTGCAGAGGCTGCATAGACTGGCATATGCCCAGCCCAAGTGGTCGAATGGTCAGATCACTATACCAGTGGCCTGACTTGTATAGTCAGATCACTATAGTCAGATGACTATAGTGGCATATGCATAGGCTTCAGAATATGCGTAAAAAAAATCGGCCACTTGTATAGTCAGATCACTACGCATAAAAAAAATTAACCGAATTTTTTTATTACATGCATCTAGTTCGGTTGATCAGGGTTTTTACGCATATTCTGAATACTAACTGGTACAGTGATCTGACCATTCGGCGACTTGGGCTGGGTTCCATCCCCAGATTCCGAGGGGTGGATTTTTTTTTTTTTTTTTTTTTTTTTGGCCCAGCTATATTCTTCTCTCAATTTCACATTTGAGCGGGGTGGAATTTCGACCTACCGTAGTGGTAATCACATCCTTTTCCTGTTACTTCTCAACTCCAGCGGGGGTGGGGTGGGGGTGGGGGGGGGGGGGGGGGGGGGGGGGGGGGGGGGGGTAGATGCATAGCTGATCTAATTTCTTTTTTCATTTTCTCTTTTCTTGTCCTTTTATTTTACCTTGTCCACTGTCTTGTTCTGGCGACAGGTCACATTTGCATTTCCGATATCTCCAGCCGTTGAGAACTTGATTCCGTCCTTCGTCACAGAAATGCCAACTGCCAGACCCAAGTGATCATCACAATACCCAGGGACAAAAAGGGAAGCCAGGTGCGTAAGAACAGATCCTCAAGGAGACAGCACAAGTCTCATGCGTTGCCTTTCAAAAAAAAAAAAAAAAAAAAAAAAAAAAAAAAAAGAACAGATGCTCGTGCTCAGCCACTCTTTCGCAATCAGACATCCAAAGACTTGCAGCAGCGAGAGTCAGGGCGTCGCCGCACGGGACAAGAAACGAAAAACGAAACGAGTGCATCTTCCTGCAAAAATGGCCCGGTTCATCGGTTTGCTATAAATAGTAACGAGTGTATTTTGCCACCTTTCATGGGCAGATGCACTTGTTTCGTTTTCGTTTCATGTGCCGTGCGGCGAGACCCTCAGTTTGCACCGGACGATGCAGATGCAGAAGCAGGGACAACACACACATGGGTTGTAAATGGATACGACGCAGAGGTTGCCTTCTATTCGAACACAGCCAGCACACGCTCTATTTGAACAGATCTTAGTTTGAAATACAACTCATACGCGTTCTATTCGAATTTTCGATTTTTTCAAAAACTCGAATACAACGCATCTACGTTATGTTCGGGGGAAGACAGTTGTGGTTACAGAGTCATACGGACATCTGCATGCTAGCGAGTTGCAAAGGGGGTCCAGAATTTCAAACTTGACAAGATACAATGACGTCAACAATAAAAACATCAAAGAAGGATAACCAATAACCACAAGGCAGGAAAGGAACACAAGATTCTTCCCCAAAAAAAATAAAAATAAATAAATAAATAAAGGAACACAAGTACACAGCCACAGGTGCAATGAACTTGCAGGTAACAGCGCGTATATACTACTGACGGTTAGGGTGGTTGTGCTTGTGTTTTCTTTCTTTTTCTGTTTTTTTCCCTCTTGACTCTTGAGCCTTTTGCGGGACTTGATCCCGTCGTGACCTGTAACTTGTAGGTTTTTGTTTTTTGGTCTCGACTCTTGAGCCCTATTGGGCTTGAACCCTGAATCTATCAGTCACCAGAAGTCTTTTTTTATTGGGCTTTTCCCTTTCGCCCTGTCCTAGGTGTGGGTCCCCTTTTCCCCCTTCTTCCATCTATACATACAGAGGACTCTCGGGTTGTTGCCTGGGGAGTCCATCGTTGGTCTAGGCTCGTCGTAGGTCTACAGGCTGAGTGCAGAAACAGCACCTGGTCGAGAAAGATGTACATGAATGTTGACTAGTGTAGTTTAGGGCCATACTAACCAGTATCTCCAATGGTAGACAAGTCGCGACAAATTCTCGCAAATTCTGCTGAAGGCATTTTTACTGTTGATGCGTAGTCTGTATCTGGAATGCCAAGGTGTTCGCTATCTATATCCATCAGCTTCATCTCAAAATCTGAGATCTTGTCCTGATCTGTCAATCCACAAAACATGTAGCCAACAGCAAAGATGGACCAGGTTCAGATTTCAGTCGCATTGTCACGGCTTGGAAGGCAAACTCACAAAACAAAGATGGCCTCAAGATCTAGATTATACCAGGGTCACACTGCCCGGGCCGCCCGGAGAGGCGACCCGGGGGAATCTGCACGGGGCCACCCGCCTGGGCTACTGGGGCGACACCAAAAAGGGTTTTCTTTCCCTCATCTTTGAATTTGGTGACGTCTCGCCAAATGATGTCTATGGGGTATTACCGGGTTGGAAAGGGCTCGAAGGGGCTTAAAGGGGCTTTTAGGGGTATGATATAGTTTAGTATTTTGTTTTCATTTATAACGAATTTCGGCGTGACCCTCATCCAAAAGTTGTTCGAATTAATAATAATAATAATAATAATAATAATAATAATAATAATAATAATAATAATATAAAATAATAAAATAATAATAATAATAATAAATAAAAATGTTGTTCGAATTGCAATTCAGCATGACGTAGTTTTTTTTCCACATTCTCTTGATTTCATTTTTTTTTTTCGCGCTGGGGCTGCCCAGGACCTTGGCTGGGACTTTGCCCCGAACTGGCCCGCGCGGGCCGGGCGGCCCGGCTAAGCTTCACACCCAAGAAAAAAGCAACCTCAGGCTCCCATGAAGTCGCAGGCCAACAGTTGCTTCGGCGGAACGGTAGGTCTGTATTTAGGTTCGGTTATTACAAAAATTCGATTATTAAAAAAAAAGCATCGGGCGCAATGGTGGTTTAAACGAATATTCAGGAGAAAAAAAAAAACAGAAAAAAAAAGCGAAACAATTTCTTGAAGAGCAAAAGTAACCCCGCTGCAAACGTGACCAATTTTTTTTTTTTTTAAATCGAGTAGCAGGAGGACCCCCCATTGACGTGGCACACTGACATGGCGCACGGAGGAGCCGATTTTTCCAAGGGATTTTTTTTTTTTTTTCCTTTTTTTTTTTCTTTTTTTTTCATCAGGGGGTTCGAGCTCTCGACTCGTTGATCACAACAGTCTCCGCATTGGGCAGCAGGTCCCCCAAGTCTTTTTTTTTTTTTTTCCGAAAATACCGAGGTCATTACTTGGCTTCGACTAAGAACAATTTCGAAATGCAAGAATTTGAGAAAAATCAAAAATAACTGCTGACCTACTCAGACACCGGCTTCCCCCAAGTCTCGTTTCGAATTTTGTAATAAATCTGTTTCCCCCCCCCCCCTCTCTAAAGAAGAGGATCGAGATCTCGACTTATTGCTCACTACCATTCACGTACGAGCCTGCATGGCATCGATCACCTCCTCGTATTGCCTACCGTCTTCCCCCGAACATAACGCACCCTAAAAATGAATGTATACAAGCTATATTTCAGGCCAGATACAGCCAAAACGAGGGTGCGTTGTGTTCGGGGGAAGAGGGTAGTATACATTGCCCGCTAAAAAAAACGAGGTTCGATTACCGCCTCGTCTTATTTTACATAATGGATATTGTATTGTAGCTGCATTTGGGGCAACTTTCGGTCTCAATACATCCATAATAGACAATGTAATTATCATACCGACCGTGTTGGATTAGGGTTTGATTTGAAGTGTGTGGGGCCGAGAAGCGCACAGCCTAGCGTCTGCTCGAGACTAGAAAGTATGACCATTATAGCTGCATTTGGGGCAACTTTCGATCTAGAAACAGTCATAATGGCCGTAGTACAGCCAAAAATATCAGAATTGGAACACAACTGAAACCACGAATGCAGCACAAAAAAAATATCGAGGAATAAATTCTGGAAAAAAAAAGAATTATATTGGCAGAGGAGTGAACAGCATAGCATAGCGCAAGGAAGAATTAAGCTCTAAGAGTAAAACCGCCAGAACTTAACCAAAATTTCATTAAAGAATCATATTCTGACGAGGAGCACGATGACGCGGGAAATGTAAATGAGAAAAGCGGTAAAAAAAAAGAAGAACCTTCCCGCCTGCCAGATAATTATACTTCCAAAAAAATGGCGGGAAAAAGATGGCCGGAAAAAAAAGGATGGATGTGAAATTAAATCAGCTGATTTTACTTTCCACAAATAGCGGGAAATTAATCAGCTGATTTTACTTTCCAAAATGGCGGGAAAGTCATCAAAAAATTTCCCGCCTTCACGCAAAGGCGGGAGACGGCTCTCTACTCATCCACAGACGCATCATATTCCAGCAGCCACCATCCTGGAAATAAAATAAAGGGGAAACTACGTGGGAGTCACAAAAATGCGTTAAAGTCGCACTATAAGCCAAGATACAGTTTCGAATTGCAGTTGGGCCAATGTATACAACCCAGCTTTCTGGCCAGGGGAGGGTGGCCGAAGTGCTGTATCTTGCCCCATATATAGTGCAATTACAACTCCTTTTTGTGACTCTACTGAAGTTACTCCTAAAATAACACACAGAGAAGAGAGAAGAGAAGAGAAGAGAGAAGAGAAGAGAAGAGAGAAGAGAGAGAAAGAAAGGAGAGAGGAGGAAATAATGCGGAAAGTAATCACATCATTGGCTATTCCAAAGAATAGGTTAGCAAAGTCAGAGACCTTTCAGAATAGCCAATAGCCAATAGCCAATATAACAGAAGAAAGAATGGGGTATTGCCAGGTTACCAGAGTCAGAGAACTTATCACCRTACTACAGAATAGCCGACAACTATCAGAATAGCCAATAGCCAATAGCCAAGAGAGGAAAGAGTGGGGTATCACCATGGGCTATTTTATAGACAGGTTACCAGCGTCAGAGAAACTCTACAGAGGCCATCAATAGAGACTATAGCCCAGAAACGAATAGCAAGAATCCCTGACTAATCCCTCTTACTGTAGCCAACGATTACGTATGTAGCCCATGACAGACTGGTCTATGCTATGGGCATTAAGAATAATAGCGGACGATGCGCTATATAGCACGAATCGATTAGAGAGGACATTTAAGGGGAAATACAGTAATAAGAATATTTTTTTCAAAAAAAGCATTAAAAGAAAGTAAAAAAAAATAAAAGAAGAGGACATTCAAGGGGAAAGACAATAATAAGAATTTTTTTTTTTTTTTTAAGCATTAAAAGAAAGTAAAAAAAAAATAAAAGAAAGAAAGGACATTTTGGTTAATATACCCCACCAACATTGGGCTACATCTCAAGCGCCCGACCAGCGCTCTATAGCCGACCAACAGCAAACAACGCAAAAGTCGAGTAGCACATGCAATGATGATGAGCCCAAGGAGCGATCTACATAATCGACTGGTGGTTAGCAGCTGTGTATAGCCTACCATACTCCCAACTTACATAACCTCCATCCATACTTTATGGCTGTATATAGTGCAACCTTCAGGTCAGATGCAGATAATAATGCCCGGGCCAAGATTTCTCTGATTGCAGATAGGTTTTGAGTATACTGGCTAACAAAAAATAGACAAATATTATGATATACATATACATATATTGTCACAAAGTTGTCAGAGCACAAAAGCGAAAGGAAAACAGAAAGAAAACAAAGAAAAATAAATTCATTTTTTTATGTGTACATAAATGTATATGACGTCAGACAGAGCTGCCCGGTAAACCTACAGGCAGAGAGGGAGAAGAGGACAACAAACGTGGGGCTGTGACAGACTTTCATCGGAGTTTCACCGACTCATGTATATATCGTCACAAACAGAACTCCCCGGTAAACCGTAGGCAGAGAGAGAGAAGAGGACAACAAACGAGGGGCTGTGACAAATATATATATATCGTCACATGAATATCAGAGCGCAAAAGCGAAAAAAAAAACAAAAAGAAACAAAAAAGATATCAATTCATTTTTTATCTTTTTCCTTACAACTCCCCCTGTTCAGAAAGAACCTCTTTTGCGTACAAGGCCGCCCACGTGGATGTAGGTTGAGCGGCGGCTGCCCCCACCCCCGTGTGTCATATCGCCCCACTTGCACACGGCCAAAGGGCAAAGAGGCAAAGAAAAGAGGAAGGGAACAGCCAAATACAACAAAACAGGGGGCATCAAGCAACAGCACCAAAAACAGATCCTAGATGACAAGTCCCACATGCAAGCACCGGCCCTCCTTCACAGGCCAAACGACGGGACAAGACATATATATCATCACACGAATATGAGAGCGCAAAAGCGAAAAAAAAACAAAAAAAAAGGAAAAAAAGAAGAAAAAAAGAATGAATTATGTAGAATACAGCCTCCTGATGAGCAAGTCGGTGAAACTCCGACGAAACAGTTTGTCACCGCGCCTCGTTTGTTGTCCTCTTCTCCCTCTCTGCCCTCAAGTTTCTGGGAAACTCTGTTTGACATTAAATGCATATATACTATATACATCGTCAAACAGAGCTGCCCGGTAAACCGTAGGGGCGGAGAGGGACAACAAACGAGGGGCTGTGACAAACTGTTTCGTCGGAGTGTCACCGACTTGCTCATCAGGAGGCTGAAAATATCAAAGGAAGCGATTAACACAGCCAGCAGCAGGAGATAACGACACGCGGCGAGTGATTAGGTATACTACATAAGCAATGAGAGAAAGAAAAAAAACGGAGCTCGACGGTAACGCAGACGGAGAAAGCAGAAAAAGCGAAAGATGAAGAATGATCTTCCTTGCCTGTGAAAGAGGAGTAGCCAGTGATTATTTGCAATCTCTCTCTCTCTCTCTCTCTCTCTCTCTCTCTCTCTCTCTCTCTCTCTCTCTCTCTCTCTCTCTCTCTCTCTCTCTCTCTCTTTGTGGTTTTCCCGCACTTTTGTCGCCCCAGTGATTATTTGCAATCTCCCTCTCTCCCTCTCTCTCTCTCTCTCTCTCTCTCTCTTTGTGGTTTTCCCGCACCTTTGTCGCCCAAGACCTTGCGATTCGATAGCAAGGATTACTGCTCTCTCTCTCTCTCTCTCTCTTTTCCGCCACCACGGTTAACTTGCAGGTCGAGCGATAGCAAGGATTATTGCTCTTTGGCCAACCTGCTTCCCGCTTCCCGCTTCCCGTTCTCTCTCTCTCTCTCCCCTACTCCCTCGCATTCCCTGCACCTCTTTCTCCAACAGGCACACCTCCCTGCTCTCCCTGACACAGACTCTACAGTCTTCCCCCAAACACAATGCAGTCTCATCACGACCGTATCGGGACCGAAAGATAGCTTGTCTACATTCATAATCAGGTTTGCTTTTCGTTCTCTGGAAGACCGTGGCACAAGGGTATATCCCTATTACATGGACAAATCGCTAGCGCGGGAAGGATTTAAAATAAACTCATTACAAGTCTGTTTCAAAAAAAAAAGAAAAAAACAAAGGTAAACTCTCTAGACGTTCTTTAAAAACTGATGACAGTAATCTTTGCGCTTTCGTGGCAAATGACGCAGTCCATGGGCCTCGCTGCACTACTCTCGAAATGTGCAAAATGAGAGTGAATCTTCCGCTAGAACATGGAAAGATACACCGCCATGATTTTTGTCTTTTGTGCATGTCGAGAGTAGTGGAGCGAAGCCCCATTACGGCTATAATCGATACGCATCTATTGCTGATTGAAAACTATACAAAATAGAAAAATAAGGGGAAAAATGACAGTAATTTACAACAACAACAACAACAACAAAAACAAACACTACAAAAAAAAAAAAAAAAACACTTACTCGGAGACTCGAACATGAAGGTCACAGTGTTTCCCTCGTCGTCTAAGGGGAAAAATGAAAGTAATTTACAACAACAACCACAACAACAAAAACAAACACTTGGAAAAAAAAAAAAAAAAAAAAAAAAAAAAAAAACTTACTCGGAGACTCGAACATGAAGGTCACAGTGTTTCCCTCGTCGTCTGCCTTGATGGTAATGATGTCATCATTTCCCGCGCATTTGAGCATCTTCGCCATATTGTTGAGATTCATCCCCATCGAGATATTCCGATCACATCGATAATGATCAAACCCCTCGCCCCTCAGGAGCAAAGCGACAAGTGCCACGTGGCTTGAGTCCATAGCTTGTAGGGAGAAGCCCGTCGCTGAACAATCAAAATTTGCATCTGTTACAAGATCCTTGATTGCCTCAAGAACCTTCTTCAATAAACTGCCCTGAATCAGCCTTGCCTCAAACATTTTCACCCTCTCTTTCCCTCTCCCCCCTTCTTAGCTTCCTCCGTCCCTCTCTCTCTCTCTCTCTCTCTCTCTCTCTCTCTCTCTCTCTCTCTCTCTCTGTGTGTGTGTGTGTGTGTGACACAAAGACACGCACAAAAACACGGTTCCACGCACCAGTTGTCTCCTTCCCTCCGCTGCTTGCCCTACTCGACGTCCTTAAAGTGTGTACGAATGGCCTGAAGTAGAGCAGCGCAGGCAGCAGAAGTCAGCCAGCCCACCAGCACAAGCGAGAGAGAGGGAGAGAGAGGCTACCACTTGAGGCAAATGAACGCGCCAAGATCAACGAGGAAGATTATTTGCACAGAGGGAGCCTGAGCGAGAGGAAGAGGACGGGGAATACACAGAGTGAAAGCGCAGGAGACGGCACTCGCCCGCAGCAGCGATAAAAGGCTCGACCGACTTCCTTTGAGCGCGCAACGACGGGTAAAAAACGCGCCAGCGGGGAACAGCTTTCGTTGGTACGTTGGGTATACGAGGGACAAAAATCGCAAAAACACCTTTGCTTACGTCTCGCGGTTCAAAAAAGGGTTCAAAAAATTGAACGAACGGCGAAGGAGGGAACAGCAGTTTGAAATTAAAACAAAAAAAGCCCTCGAAAACGGAGAGGCTCAAAAATTGAACGAATTGTGGACCAGCAATGGAGGCAAGCGGCAAAGGAGAGGCGGGAAAAAGAACGCTAGAGCGAAAATATAGGGGGGCGGGGGGGCGGGGGGCCGTGGGGTCGGGGTTGGCAGGACGAAAAAACGGCCTCAATCGGGAACTGCCATGTGAGGGACAGTTTTTGGACACTTGTCCCTCTGGGGACACGAGGTATCTTTCCGATGGCCTGTGACCAGGGTTAGTGTGACTACCTAGGTTTCATGTGACCAAGGTCAGACAGCGGCGCCTCGCCAAAATCCTCGACGGCTGCCTCACACGAGAGGACAGCTCGGAGGTGCACTGGCAGAATAGTAGTGTCTTTCACAGTCGTTCCACCGGTAGGTATGGTCTCTCAGTCTTTATAAACCACAAGTACACGCCAACTATCAGTCATGGGCCCCTTTCGGAGGCCGCCCCCCCCCCCGATTCATTTTATCTAAAGTCGCTCGGCCTCCTAAAAATATATTTGTTTTTATTTTTTTGTAGAGTCTCCTAAATTTTTGGAGATGCTCAAAACAGGTTCTCCAGTTGCCTGGGGCATGTACTGGTGGTATAAGACAGATTCATGTGACCACAATAGCTTTTGAGATAGGACATCAGGAAAGGATGGGCCAACTGCTGATGGGGGGAAGTCCATTGGGCTCTGTTGGGAGAGGTATGCTACAGTCGTCCCCTGAACACAACGCACCCTCGTTTTGGTTGCACCTGACCGAAAATATGGCTTGTATACATTCATTATCAGGATGCAGTATATTTGGGGGGAAAACGGTAGTTGTAGATAAGTGATATGATGGTGGTGGAGTAACGGACTAAGTAACCTGATTCTTTGGGATGACAAGCATTGGGTCGGTTGGCAAGGGTGTAAAGAAGGCATAGGTCGTAAGCCAGTGCCAACTTTGTTATTCCTTCATTCACTGACCCTCATACCAGTTCGTTACTTATTTTATCATTTGACAACTTTTATACTAATCTCTCAAATAGTCTGACTTCTCTATAAAAAACATATGTTTTGTCCTTCGGGAATGATATAGAGAAGATTAGTATGGCCCCTACACCAGGATGACATGCATAAATCGAGAAATTGTCCAAATTAAAAATAAATAATAAAAAATATATATATTTTTAATTGTTTTTTTCTTTTGTTATAATAAGATAAAATAAAACATATTTTGGTTCATATTACTCAGATAAACGTTATCAGGGGGGGTCCACGCCTACCTCTAAATGGTCGAATATTTAGCCGAATGTTCATGTATAAATTGACAAACGTAAAGCATCCGACATAATTTTTTTATGGGTGATTTTTTCCTCTTTTTAAAAGTTGTATAACCTAAGGTACTAGGTGTCGCATCGTACTATATTTGTTTATGATGGATAAAAAATTTATTTTTATGTTTTGAGTAGTTTTTTATACGACTTTATGTAATCTACATTTATAGTATTTTTTATTTTTTTAATAAAACAATAAAAAACAAAAAACTTTATAGTTACGAAACGCAAATGTGGTTGTCCCTAGCTGAATACTATTCACCTTAAAAAAACTCAACCCCTTAAAAGCGCATTTTTAATTGTTACATGCACATCAAATAATTAGGCACGATGTCTCTCGCAGATACATGTATTTGACCTATCTATTATCATTTATTATAACACTAATAGACGTGTAAATGTATACATTATAAAAAAAAATGGCGAAAATCCAAATAGTCAGGAGACAATTGAGATCTCAGAGATGGGGCTTTTAGAAAGGAACGAGAATAAATTTTGGCCCATCCAACGGATAAGACAGTTTCAGTCTTGGTGACCATCGGTAACATACCATCCTCTTTCAATGTGGGTTCGACTGTCTGTGCACACCTCTCATTTTCAAAATATGACCAATAAGTCTAAAGTTGCTATTTGAAGGTAAATCACAAAGAGAGCATTGCAAGACAACCCAACAATGTCTTTGGGAACCAACACACTTTTGAAAAAAAAAAAAAAAAAAAAAAAAACGTATGTGTGAAAAATCATACTATTTGTGTGAATTCATACATAATGAATAGAGGACGGCGGAAGGAAGGTTGGTTTTGTTTGCGTCTAACCAGATCAACCAAAGGCTGAACCCATTTTAAGTGTGTGGGCTCAGTGTTATGTTTTTTTTTTGTATGTTGGACTTTCTGTTTGGTTTCCAGAGGTTGGCCTCTCCATAAGTTGAACCGTCCGGCCATATGTTTGTTTTTTTTTTTGATTTTTTTAACGAAGGATGAAACTCATAATTTCGATACTCAGAATCCGTGTTTCTTTTGATGATGAACAGAGATTGACACATTCTAAGTGCGTGTGTTCAATTCTATGAGAGGGACATAAACAAGGACTAGTCACTCCATAAGTTGGCGTGATCAAGTCATGAGTCGTAAACATAAGTGAAACCATAGTATAAAACCTAATATAAGTATTTATATATTATATCATTGGCAGCATAGGCGCCATGAGTTGAGAGATCTACCCGTATAAGCCGGTAAAAGACAAAAATAAAAAATAAATAAGATTCATATAGGCTACCAGCCAGGCTGCCTGGGTTACCATTTTCTCAGGCTGCCCGCCTGTGTAAGGACCAAGGAAGGTTAAAAAAAAAAAAAAAAAATCTAACAAATATGAAAAATAAAATATGTTATGCAGAAAAATAAACTAAACAACATTTGTCTTATGGTCACATCGAAATTCTTTACCAAATGCAGTTCTGTTTGTGACAATATATATTTACTTTATTTTTTTATTTTTTTTATCCGGACTAAAAAGTGGTCTCGTACCACTCTGGTAGCCTAGAGATTCATAGTACAAAATTGAGAGGTGACTTTGGACAGGTTGGACTCTTCCATAAGCTGGATAGTTCGTTCATATGCTAATGATAACACAAAATGCAAAGAGATAATATAAATTTGGCTATTTTAAAACATAATAAAGACTTGGTTTGACATCTCCGTAAGTTGGAGTGACGTGACCATTTGTCTGAAGAGAGAAGGAAATTGTGAGTTTAATTATTGGATGTAGTTATGTTGCGGAGGCTGAGCGAACCCATAAGTTGGGGGTTGGTCGGTCATACGCACATATTGCTTGTCTAAGCGGGCTGGTCTACCAATAAGTTTGGTAGCCTAATTCTACGATGTATGTCATTATTTGGGTTGACCAGCCACACCATAAGTTGATGTATTTTAATCATATACCGTTTGTTGTTTTTTCTCAGGCAAAAGGTTGAACCTCCTCATAAGTTGAGGCCACCTAGTTATTTATCTATGTCGAATGTTTAGGCAGACCGGCCTCACCATAACTTGATGTCGCCTAGTCTTACGCCTTATATCACTTGTCTAGGCTGAAGCAAACCACACCATTAGTTGGTGTGGCATGGTCATATGCCTTACGTTTACTTGTTGTACCGGACTCGGGCACCATGAGTTGGTATGGCCTAGTCATATAACTTAAGTAGGTTAGTCATACCCAAAAGTTAGGAGTTGTAATCATATGTCTTATATAAGGAATACTAAAATGGTAATAACATAAGGTTGAAATGAACTATGTGATCTGGAAAGGAACCTGAGGGTTAGCGTGATATATTATTGTGCTCACTTGTGTGTGTGTTTTTTTGTTCATCTTTTGGGATATATTTTTTTTTTAGCTTAATCGCTTCAGATGCTCGCTTAGTGTTGGAGTTATATGCAAGTAAGATGGATGATGGGAAGGAAGTTTGGGATAAGATAAGACTAACCTTACTATAAGTTAGGACTATTGCTAGTTCATGATACCATCTTCAAAGAAGGATCGTGTAGACTATCTCAAGTTTTAACTATCAAGTGAGTGTCAGAAGTAAGTTATAAGTATAGTTTTACTTTGCTTTTGCATTTCTTACTTTGTATAAATTTTGACAGCCTTCTTTTCCTATGGGAAGTACTGCCAAGATTTTTACAAAGCTAAAAGAGTTAATCATTTTTTTGCTCGCGAAACTTCTGGAAATACAATTTTCCTACGGGAAGCGCTGCCAAAATTTTATGAAATTTGGAGAGTTAAATTATTTCCTACTAGGAAAATTTTAGTAATCCACCCTGTTTAATGGAGATGCTACCAAAATTTTCAATAACTTTTTGTACTTATTAGAGGAAGGCGGAATAAAAGTTAGTAAAGGAGTTAGACTACAAAATGAAGCATGTACTCCCATCCTCTTTAACCTGTATTGTGACGCAGGTCTATGCATATGATTGAAAACTCGATTTATTCGGCCTGATCCTACAAATGATCACTCTTCTATTATCATTTGATAACGTGTTAGTCTACGATGTAACTTACTACATCCTATATCTCAACCTAAGACCTTAACCCTTGTGGGTTTTTAATGTTTCTTGGGATTTTCACCCATACTTTTTTTCTTAATGACAATCTCTAAGGACCGAGTATCTTTGTTATGGGATGGTGGAAAATGATTGAGACTTGTATGTATAACGCAAGGCATGAGTCGCAAAAAACTGTAAAGTTGACTTCCTTAGTGTGCACGATACCTTTGTTTAAACTTTATATGATTGCAATTATGCGTGAGAGATTTTGGATTGAGTTTGAGTGATTGTCTGTATGTTGCGTGAATGTTGATGGACAAACCACAATATTTTTGTGAAAGTGATTGTCTAATGCCACACATTTTTTTTATCTGAATCATTTAATGATTTTATTTTGTGTAGTTATTATGATCAAGTGAACATACACGCGCATAATTTTCACGATACCCAGGACGATGCGCACGCTTATCCTTACTCTTTGAATTAAGTGGTCGGACGTTAGTCTTGCACCTGAAATCCGAGGTC